GGAGTTGTTTCTACTTGTGTTTCCCTTGTAAACAGTACCAGTAACATTCATCTGCGTGGTTTTGGATCATATGTGCAAGAATTTCTCTAGGTTACATGTGCAAGAGTGTGATTTCTGGGTAATAGATATGCAAATATTTAACTTTACTACCAAACTTTATGCTCCACATTTCTGTGTGTGGTTTCCTTTTGCTCTATGTATTTTGATGCCAGCTCTTTAGGGAATGAAAGTTTATGTGGCTTTTATGAAATGCATCATATAGTAAATATTTGGGGCTCATACAATCTCTAGTTCATCTATTCGTCTCTACTGTTGTAGTGGGAAAGCAGCCATAGGTAATATGTTAACAAATGAGCATGGTTGTGTTCTCATAAAACTTGATTTATAAAATAGGTAACAGGCAGAATTTAGCCAATGGGTTATAGTTTGCCAACTCATGCTCTACAAATACTTCAGTATAGATATTTCATTTTTAAATAATTTTAATAGCAAAATATTTTAGCAAAAAAGAAACACAGATAAAACAAATATGACAAAATAGTAACAACTAGTTAACTCTAGGTGGTCCCAGTAGTGTGGTTTTTAGTGTATTTGCAACATTTCTGTAGGTTTGCAATCTTTCAGAATAGAAAGGTAGGGAGGGGGGCGCTTGAGTGGCGCAGTCGGTTGAGCGTCCGACTTCAGCCAGGTCACGATCTCGCGGTCCATGGGTTCGAGCCCCGCGTAGGGCTCTGGGCTGATGGCTCGGAGCCTGGAGCCTGTTTCCCATTCTGTGTCTCCCTCTCTCTCTGCCCCTCCCCCGTTCATGCTCTGTCTCTCTCTGTCCCAAAAATAAATAAAAAACGTTGAAAAAAAATTAAAAAAAAAAAAAAAGAAAGGTAGGGAGGAAAGAGCTGCTGAAAGCCTAAATAGATTCTGCCCCTCTGCTTTCAAACAGCCTCGTGATAAATAACAGCAACAGTCTGTAAAAGTAAGAGCTAAAGTACTTATTTATGATCTTTTAAAAATGTATTAATGGTCAACATTTTCAAACAATTAAGAAAAAACATGGGAATGGAAATTTTATTACTCTAGCCTCAGGAGTAGGAAGCACTATCAGAATTCTTACGTTAACATTAAACGCAGTTTGTTTGTTCTATGCTTACAAATCTTCAAGAATTTTAGACTCCTTTCATATGTTACCAATAAGTAAAATCTTGAATATTTTAACACGTTTTACATCAAAGGCAAGAACCTCAGATGTGTTATTAATTCTGTTAACCTCAGCTAAGCAACAGTCTGCCCCAATATTCAGTTGATGCTATTGGCTCCTTTCCAGAAAAGATTTGTAAGAGGAATGCTTTACATCTTTGGTTTTTATCCTGTTAGCTCACAGGCCAACAGTCTTATTAATAACTCTTTCCAACTCAGAACACACCAAATCATCAGTTTTATCATCTATCAAATATGTCACTTGTAAGAAATTTAAAGATATTTGTGAAAATAATGAAGAATTTCAAATAAGAATATTAAACATATTCATTCTACAAACTTTTCCAGATTTGCAATCTAACAACAACTGAACATTGGTGGAGATTGACTGCATAGGCAAAAGTAAAAAAGTTACTAACACATCTGAGGTTGTTATATTTGATGTAAAATGTGTTAAAATATTCAACATTTTACTTATTTGTAACATGTGAATGGATTCCCTAAAAATTTAGGGAATTTTTATAAGCAGAGACTAAACATGGTTCGTTTTACGTAACATAAGAATTCTAATATTGACTCCTACTCCTAAAAATATAAAAATATAAAAAAAAAATAAGCCTTTCAACTCCTATTTTCACTTGTCCCAACAGATATTAAAGCACAGTCTACAGCTGTATCAATGCGAAAACAGTGTACCATTGTGGAAAGAGATCAAGGAAAAAACAAATAATGGAGTTGATTATCATACGATTTCGTATCTGGCGAGTGCTAAAAATCAGAGGAAAATAATCAATTTATTCTATATTTTTATATTACTTTGTTTATAATTTTAATTTACTATTTTCAGATTAAGGAGTGGAGTCAGAAAGGTTAATTTGGCTAAAGACATACAACTATTAAAAGACAGAGATGAGAATCACACATAAACCTTCAAAATCCCAGATGTACCTTCATCTGTCACATCATTCTGCCTCACTGTAAGCTTGAAACCACTCCACGAGAGTACAGACACACACAGCCATGTGTGATGGGTTTGTGGAATGTGGCAGAAAACTAGGGAAAGGTTAGTAAAGTTGAACTGCAGGTGAGAGGACAAAATCATTAAGAGAAAAAAAATCATAAATGAGGAATACATTTGGCATATTGGACTACGCTCGCTAACAGATTTTATATGCGATCTGGAAAATTACTGGAAACCCCCCAACCCAGGCCCCCAGGGGCCCCTGTGAGCCCTAAGCAGGAGAAGATTTCTTGGTAAATTGTAGCGTTTTCTTTCACCAAGGACCCAAGTGACTCAATGAGGGACTCTTCTTCATCAGACATCGCACCCAATAAGGGTAAGGTGTTCCCAGTGGCTGGAACAACATGAGCCCCAGAGAAGGTGGAGTGTAGTTCAGGGAGAAGGCTGCAAAGACCGAACGACACCTGCGGAGCAAGCCTGCAGGGTCCGCTAAATTCCATTTTCTCCTTCCGCAGCAGGGCTGTAGTGCGCTCATTAGCTAAACTGTATTTCTCGGCCCCTCTTGACACGGGGTGTGGCCCTAGAACTAATTTCTAATGAATGAAGCGTAAATGGAAATTTGCGCCACTCCCAGGTTTACACCTTTAAGAAGCAAGTAGGGGCGCCTGGGTGACTCAGTCAGGTAAGCGTCGGACTCTTGATTTCGGCTCAGGTCATGATCTCATGGTTGGTGAGTTCAAGCCCCCAGTTGGACTCTGCACTGACTGCAGAGCCTGCTTGGGATTCTCTCTCTCTCCTCCCCTCTCTGCCCCTCCCCTGCTTGTATGCTCCCCCTCTCTCTCCCCGCCCCCTCTCTCAAAGATAAATATTCAAAAGAAAAAGAAGCAGGTATACCTACTTCACATTCTCTCCTTCCACCGGATGGATACTGATGAGGAGGAGACCCAGCAAATTGGCACAGCCTCAAGGTGCAAGTTAACCTGGGTTTCCAACTCACTATGTGGAGGAGAGACACCCACCAACCAACACCTTAGATGATCTCATGAGAGAGAAGTAAACTTCCATTGTGTTTGAGCCATTGAACAATTTTGGGTCTGTTTACCAACACAGACAAGCCCATCCTAACTAGTGGAGTTTGTCCATCAGTGGATATCAGCAATATTCTTCTACATCCAATGAAATGAAGGGCGGCAGTGTGAAATAGTAGGCACGCAGGAGACCCAAGCAGGTGGCATAAAAATGGCCGATCGGAGTGGCAGGAGACCTTGGCAAGAGAAACATGATGAACAAGTAGCCACAAGAGAGGAAACATAGATACTCAGAGATCTGCTGTTCTTGAATACTCGCAGAAAGCTGTAAGAAAGAGGTTTGAGGGCAGGTCATTTGGCCGAGGGTTACTAACACCGTACAGTTTGGAACAAACTTGAAAGCATTGTCACCTAGCTTCTGGATACTGCTGGTGTCTTTAAGGCATCCAGGCCATATGTTTACATGAATGAAAGCATACTATATATAGCATGAATATGCCTCAAAACATGAAAACATTAGGGTTAAAGGATTATGGGTGGGTTTCCATTTTTTTTTTCCGTCTGAATCATATGAACTTTTTTAAAGCATACCGTACACAGCCACCATGGAAAACATTATAGAGGTTCCTCAAAAAATTACAACTAGAAACACCATATGATCTAGTAATTCCACTATTTGGGTATTTGCCCAAAGAAAAACAAAAACACTAATTCGAAAAGATATATGAACCCCTATGTTTACTGCAGCATTATTTACAGTAGCCAAGATATGGAAGCAACCCAAGTGTCCCTTGATATATGAATGGATAAGGAAGATGTGGCATTTATATATACAATGGAATATTACTCAGCTATTTACAAAATGAGATTTTGCCATTTGTGACAACATGGATGGACCGCGAAGGTATTCTGTGAGGTGAAGTAAGTCAGAGAAATACAAATACCATATGATTTCACTTGTATGTGGAATCTTAAAAACAAAACAAACAAAAACCAGACTCTTAAATACAGAGAACCAGTGGTTGCAGAGGGGAGATGCATGTGGGATGAGGATTAAAGGTACAAAATGGGATTAAGAGGTACAAACTTCCAGTTACAAAGTGAATAATTCACGGAGACACAAGGTAGAGCATAGGGAATAGAGTCAGTAATATTGTAATAACATTGTATGATGACAGCTGGTGACTACACTGCTAGTAGTGAGCGCTAAGTAATGTACAGGTTGTCGAATCGTTATATTGTTTACCTGAAACTAATATAACATTGCATGTCAATTACACTTCAGTTTACAACAGCGGTTTAAAAAAGAAGCAAACCACACACTTCTCGTGAAAAACTTTACCTTCCTTTTGGAGAAAAATTCTTCCTATTAATTTTATATTTTCATGAAAACATTTCACATTTTGGGGTCTATACACCATCAATAAGCAATAAGGATGAGACACAAAGCTTTGCCCAATTCCTAGTGTGAACTCTTTGAAGAAATGAATATTTACACAGCACAGACAATATGACTACATGTTTGCCAGCTCCCATTACATAATAAGCTCCTTTGAAAGCAGGCTCTGTATTACGCTCATGATTAATCCTTGGCACTTGGCACACAGGAGGTATGCAGAAATGTTCAGTGGGTGAATTTATGAATGCATGAGTACTCTAGTAGCTTTTAATGTGTAAATTCAATGGTAGTAAGTTATTTCAGCCTCGGAATCCCTATTCCCTGTTATTTCAGTTTTGCTAAGTGTGTAACAGGAAGTAATTGATCACACCTGAGATGCCTCAACGGTGTTCTTTTTTTTCTTTCACTTTATATGTCACAGCTCCATTCAACCCAAATAAAGGTGCCGATAGCATTGTCAAGTTTGACACTTTCGGAGATGGAATGGGACGATACAACGTGTTCAATTTCCAGTACGTGGGTGGCAAGTATTCCTACTTGAAGGTTGGTCACTGGGCAGAAACCTTATCACTTGATGTTGACTCTATCCACTGGTCCCGGAACTCGGTCCCCACTTCCCAGTGCAGTGACCCCTGTGCCCCCAATGAAATGAAGAACATGCAACCAGGGGATGTCTGCTGCTGGATCTGTATCCCCTGTGAGCCCTACGAATACCTGGCTGACGAGTTTACCTGTATGGACTGCGGCCTCGGGCAGTGGCCCACTGCAGACCTGTCTGCCTGCTTTAATCTCCCCGAGGACTACATCAGGTGGGAAGATGCCTGGGCCATTGGTCCAGTGACCATCGCCTGCCTGGGCTTTATGTGTACATGCATTGTTGTGACTGTTTTCATCAAGCACAACAACACACCCTTGGTCAAAGCATCAGGCCGGGAGCTCTGCTACATCTTGTTGTTTGGGGTTGGTCTGTCCTATTGCATGACATTCTTCTTCATTGCCAAGCCATCACCAGTCATCTGTGCTTTGCGTCGACTAGGGCTGGGGACCTCCTTTGCTGTCTGTTACTCAGCCCTGCTGACCAAGACAAACTGCATCGCCCGCATCTTTGATGGGGTAAAGAATGGAGCTCAGAGGCCAAAATTCATCAGCCCGAGTTCTCAGGTTTTCATCTGCCTGGGTCTGATACTGGTGCAAATTGTGGTGGTGTCTGTGTGGCTGATCCTGGAAGCTCCAGGCACCAGGCGCTACACCCTTCCAGAGAAGCGGGAGACAGTCATCTTAAAATGCAATGTCAGAGATTCCAGCATGTTGATCTCACTCACCTACGATGTGGTCCTGGTGATCTTATGCACTGTGTATGCCTTCAAAACTCGGAAGTGCCCAGAAAATTTCAACGAAGCCAAGTTCATTGGTTTTACCATGTATACCACGTGCATCATCTGGCTTGCCTTCCTCCCTATATTTTATGTGACATCAAGTGATTACAGAGTAAGTCTTTGAATGGTTTCTTCTTTTCATTGTTCCTTTATCCTGCCAATATTTTGTTATGTAGGATTTAAAATAGACTTATTCCATCTCAGTAATTAGGTAGGTAATTGTAAATGCCATGATAAACCACCATATTATATATGGAAACTCATTCAATTTGTTTTAAAAGCATTTAATTAGTGAGTACTATGTGCAAAGCATTGTACTAGGCACAGAAAGGAAGATAAATGTAAATGATGTGGTCATTCAAGCAATTTATAATCTAATAGGAGGAAGATGCAACACACACACACACACACACACACACACACACACACACACACCTCTAAAACTTTTAAGTTTAGAAAGTGATTCACAAGAGGGCAAGAATTAAACCACTAAGAACCTAGTGAGAATAATTCAAAGAAGACACAAGAGAACCTGGCTACCACAGATTAATCTGTAAATTAAAATAGACTTGCAACATTAAGCCATTATCAGATCTAAACACTTTCACTCAAGCTTCAAATAAGCATCATTATGTCTCTAAAACAGATTAAAATGTAACGTAAATTTGTTATACATGTTCTACAACTTTTTAGTTCTTGTACATGTACATTTTATATATATATATAAAATCCTTGAACTAGTTAAAAATATTACTGCATATATCCAAGTAACCTAATTAAGTCAGTATTCATAAAGTCTTTAGCAATGCATAGTTCAAATTTTGGGGCATCAATATAATTACCATCTCTTCTGAAAGACAGAGTTCATCATTCTACCATAATTTCTCAAATTATTGAAACCATCAATCAGTTACTTTTGCATTTATATTTCTGATTTTAGTATCATCCGAGAAGTATAAGATTTTTTTTCACTTGAGGCAATTGGTTTTATTCTCCATATGTCTTAAATTGACATAGATTAAAGTTTTCCAGGGGCATTTCCTTGTTACACCATAATTTCACAAAGTGCTTCTGTAGGCTGTAACAATCCCCAAATCTTCTATTTATCAGCAATTCCTATATTACCAAAATTCTTGAACACTGCAGCTCAAAAAGAAGACACAGCTATTTAAAATGTGGCATCAAGAGACTAGCAAAGCTTAACATAGCTCATCTTTTAAATGATTTACAACGATGTGACTGAAACCATGGACTCAACTAAAGGAAGAACAAGAAAAATAAAGAACTTAAATTCAATGTTGGTGTAATGGTCAGGCATTCTAAGCCTACCTATAAAATTTTTTGAAAATGTGTCGGTAGAGAAATTATCAGAACTGAACAGCAAAATCAAGGGTCATATTATATGAGCCATGGGGGAATGTGAACGGTTAGTGAGGGGATTAAAATGGATAACTATAGTTAATGTATTTTAATGCTGCCACTTCTATCTTTTGTCTTTATGTGCACATCCACTTCTATAGATCTGTACGGATTTTTTTAAGTTCTTAGGAAGCATCCTCAGCAGACATGATTTAGGGTACTGGGACTGTGGACCAGTTACAATATTATTTTACCCTGGGTATATGATCTGAAACCATTCATTCTCAAAGAAGCTAATAAGAAAACAGAACAGAAAATACTACAGAGAATAAAAAAATAGCATTATAAAAGTTTAATTTTATTGAATGAGTTAGCATTTATTTCTAAAAGACAGAAAAGAAATGACTTCTTTCCTTAACATGATAGCAGTATATAGGAGATCAATTGACTAAGTGAAATTAACTGAAGATACCATAAGCTTCACCACATGGCATGAGGCAAATGGGACAGAGGTTGTGGAGTGTTTTTTCAGGTCCATGCTAATTAAGGCATCCAAACCTGAGGCTTCACATACCCCTTACAAATAACACCAAGGCAAAATTTACAAAAGAAATGAAAAGGTAGAATGGAGCCTCCAACCCATTGGTTTTCAAATTTGACTGTGCATTGAATCAACTGGGTAGCTTTGAAAAAAACATATTGATACATGGGGCACAGCCACAAGAATTCTGATTTAATTGGCCTGGGCCGTGGCCTGGACATCTGGATATATCAAAGTCCCCCAAGTGACTAATTTGCAGCCAAGACTGAAAACGACTGCTTAAATCAATCATATGCTCTTAGTGTGTCACAGATGTCTTTAGTGTGGCCTTCACTGTTTTTGAAATTTTTTGAAATATTTGTCAAAATTAGAAAATTGAGGAATTTTACAGAAATATCCAGATTCTTGGTTCCTCTTAACAAAGTAAAACACGTGGACCCAAATTCCCGCATGCAACATTGAGCCGGACCTTAGTGTTTATGCCTCTAGACAGAGCACACAGCTACCAATCCCTGAATGCTTCCACTTGGCTCCCTTCACTTGTGCATATGCATGACCCTGTAAGCATATGAATTTGAGACTGTTGTTTTAGGAATTCCAAAAGACTGAGGTGTAAAATTTCCCACAGGGAAACCACGTGGTTCAGATAGAATGAGCAGCATTAGAGAAGTAGGCATCCATTTACAGGCAGCTAGTAGGAATTTGGCCACCAAACAGTCAACAAGGTTTATGACTCAGTACTTTGCCACCTCTTGTGAATTATAAATAAATAAAGCACTTTTCTAGTCTTCAGAAAGCTTATATCCCAGATGGGAAAAAAAAAAATCAACAAGCATGAAAGAATTCAAAATCAATACAGAATAGTTTATAATTAAATTGGTGGTACAAGCTCTTAAATGCCTATAGGTTTGAAAGAAGAGTTGGATCAGTAAGAATGGTCTTTCCAAGAATTTCAAGAGGTGTGATTTCACACTGTACCTTGGTGGGAAACTGCAGTTACAGTGGTTAGAGAATATAGGGCATGTGGGGAATATTCTTGAGGCAAGACAGGAAATGAACCAAGCAGAAAAAGGTAATATTGGTTTTACTCAAGTAGAAAATGGGTTTGGGGGAGGGGTCTAGAGAGAAACTAATGGCAATTGGCCATGTGGTCAACTTTTAACAGGCAGAGGAATTCATTTAAGTAATGAATTTAAATAATGCATTTAAATAATGAATAAGGGCTTTGAGGAATTGATATTTTAAAATTTTTATTTTCTTTTGGTTGGTTGTTTGCTCAGGCAAAAAGTGACATGATGAAACATAAGAGGGAAAAAAAGGAACTAACGCTTATTGATCAACTCTGAAACTTACTCTAGATGTTTTGCATACGTGAGTTCACTTATCCTCATTAGCACCCTGAAAGGCAAATGTTATTATCCATTGGAAGGATGAGTAAACAAACTTGGAGGATAATTGACTTCCCAGGTGACACAGTTAAGAAACAGTAGGACAAGGTCTTCAGATGCAAATCAATGCCTTTCATATTACACTACAGACTTCTCTGTTTTTAATATGGAGGATGGGTTTGAAAGAGTGGAGCATAGAACAAGCAAAACTAATTGAAGCTATTACAAGCATCCAAGACCTAGCAGGCAAGAACTTGGGTAAGAATCCAAAAATTCAAAGGATCTTTGATAAATTTCCAGGCCATCTCTTTCTGTATCACAAGATAGTGTAAGACTCAAACATTAAGCCATCAGGGGGCCAATCTTAGCTTACATGGTATAAATAAAGATTAGGTCATGTTAGGACATAAAGTTATCCATAAAGGAATTAATAGTAATTCCTGAATGTTTTGTTCATTTATGTCTTCCAAAAATATTTGAGCACTTATTATGGACCTTGGAGATACAGCTGTCAACACAGACATATCTCTCTCTTTTATAACTTACGGTCTAGTGCAAGTGAGGGAAGGATACAGATGGAGAGTAAATAATGAACGGATGAAAATATAGGGTAACTCATGCTGTGGTTTAAGTGCTGTGATGGGAGGACAGGGGGGTGATGCCAATGCAGTGCTTCTCAAACTTTAGTGTGAATACAGCTCATCTGGGCACCTTGCTAAGATAAAAGATTCTGACCCAGTAAGAAAAGAGGGAGCCCAAGATTCTGGGTTTCTGGCAAGCTCCCAGGTAGTAGAGATGTTGCTAAGCAAAGGACAGTACTCTGAGTATCAAGAAAATGGATTTTAAGGGGCGTGGTGCAGAGGAAGCACTTTACCCACTGTAGGCAGAGACTTTGGAGGTCACTCTAGAATTCTGACAAGGTTTTAACACTTACAAAGAAATTCTGATTTACCCATGTTGACTCTTTCGAAGATTAAAAAAATACCAAATCTCAAATTCTTTCAAAACTGTCTGCCACTCCTGCTGGTGTCTATTTCATAATACTCCACTAAAGGATGGGAAGGAGCTAGCCATGGGGATTTTACGTGCTAGTCAAAAAAACAGCAAGTATGAACACACCTAGGCCAAAAAAAACACAAAGTCTCAGAAAAGAAAGGTATATACAGCTATAGTTTAATGAGTAGATGCAAGAGAGATTTTATATGCAAGGTGGGCAGGGAAGCTAGATCATGTAGGACTTTATAGGCCATAGCAAACTTTTAGATTTCAGTCTATGTGGAAAAAGAAGCCATTGAAATATTTTAAGCGGAGGAATTTAATGATCTCCTATTTTATGATCTCACATTGTAGTGGGGAAAAATAAGCTGCTGAAGACACTGACTTAAAGACAAAGGCAGAAGAGGGGAGGCCAGTTAGGTGGCTGTCATAGATGTTCCAGTAAGATGGTAGAATATTAGCAATGGAGATGGAAACTTCGAAAACTGTCAAAGGTTTTTACCCATCTTGCCATCTAACAAGTTAAACTGCCACGTGTTCAGGGATGCTGGCAGACAACCCAAGACTCCTGATTCGGATACAAAGGACTTTAGTACAGCCATCACTGTAGCCAGAGTGTCAGCATTTATGTAGGTGCCCGAAGGCCCAGTTTTCCCTAGACAATGCAAAGTGGGCTAGCTGACCCGTGCATAAGCAGTCTTTGGATCAGTATTTGCCTTAAGACTGAATATGTCATGGTACAGCGCTGTTAGCAATCCTATCCCTATTTAAAATGTTGACAGTGTGTTCATCATAGGTTTTCAGCATTCATTTTTATTTTCACAACAT